GTCGGACGCTTAACCGACTGCGCCACCCAGGCGCCCCATGTGGGTTACTTTTTATAGTTCATTTTTAACCCCCTAAGGGTCAGAGAACAATGCCTTATGTTATGCAACCTGTTTTCTCTTCCGGCCTCGTTCATAATCGATTTTAAGTTTCCGGTGTATTTCAAAGCAAGGAGGGTCCCAGTTTGTCAGATGTGGCACATACACCCAGTTTTCTAATTATCAAGCTCAAATTCTCATGGTTTTTTTCTCAATCTGACTCAGTTTAGAATCCATCAGGACAGACATACAGGTGTGCTACACAGAGCGAAGAACCTCCTGGGCCCAGTCGGCTTTCCAGTGAGAAACCCCCATTGCAGAGAGCTACCCCAAGTTCTGGCTTTCGCTCATCAGCATCGTTACTGAAAGTAATGGGTCTGAGAGCGGCTCGTCAGAACAACTGAGGTTAGGAAGCATCTCTTACTGGTGACACCAGTGGTGCTCCAGATAGGACGGAATCCAGACAGAGTAATTCAGAGGTAGTCGCCACCCGCAAAGGTCAGACTATCTAGCAAGGCCCTTGGGTAGTGCCTGAGACTTAGCCCTAAAATAGCCCCGTGTCCCCACTGGGTTGGAGGGCAGCCCACGGCGTCAGGAGGAACAAAATCCTGCCCCTGGCACATCAAAACCACCTCGAAACTTTTCCTGGAAGACGCCGTGGACCATCTAGAGAGAGAGACCCGGAACCCCACTAAGCTGACGTTAACAGGCTCCAGGAGCTGTCGTGTGTCGGATCGCGAACGCGCTTTTAATAAACACGGTACAGGATCTGAGCTGACGCCTATCTTCACCATCACTCACTGGCGAGGCTGCGAGGGAGCTGACCGACCTGCTGTAACACCTGACACCCAGCAGCGTCTAATAGGACTAACCTGGAGGCCGTATGTAGACAAGACGGCTCAGGATGGGCTCCAGCGCCACCGGGGTGGCCTGTCACTTTCTCTTTACAGGGCAGTGGCGGGTCACGGTATAGACAATATTGGCAGGGGAACACGAGCTCGTTACCTCTTGTTACAGTTTTCAAAAGTAGAAAGTAAAGAACGTGGTGCTTTGCCCTTTTCAACGTTCTCATCTTAGGTCCTTTTTGGCTGATATATACAAGCACGTGCTTATCATTAAGTCTGTAACTGGATTTGTTTGATAGGTTCTGTCTTTTTAGATTTGTTTAAATATAAATTTGTTATATATGAATAATATAATTCTATATATAATTCTAAATCTATAAAATAATAGATTAAATAGATTTGCTATAAAATATACAAAATAAGACTAGAGAATAATGTAACAAACAGGCATAAAGCTTTATCAAATCTTAACATTATTTATTTTTCAAAATGACCAGGAACCTTTGACAGGTAGATTTGTTTTATAAATGCCAATCTCTTGAATAAAAAACCAGT